AAATGTGTTTTTTTCCTTTTCTTCTTAAATAAAACAGAGAGTATATAAACAAAAACAAGTTATCTTTATTTTAATATCGTAAAAAGTTTTTAAAGTTTTCCCGATTTAGAAAAAAGAAGTAACGTCTTCGTTTTTTTTACATATCCTCAGTTTTATTTTTTTTTAAATAAATAAATAAATAAACACAATTGTATTTTTATTTCATAATTTATCTGTGAGGAGTTATAAATAACAGAAACACCGAAAAAAACTGGCATCATATTAGATTCTGAGAAATGGATAAAAATATTAAAATTGATGGGTGTATGAATATATATATATATATATATATATATATAAACTTTCAGGGTTAATGTGCATTGTATTATTGTATTCCTTCTGGGGAGGGGCAGCAAACTGGAAGTCCAACCCCGGCGACAAAAACACTAGCTACACCACTGGAAGTGTTCCGCTTAAGAATTGCGGGATATTCATATCGTGAGGACGCAGATATAATTTTTACATACGGCCACACCAATGGTAATGGACACGAGGCTGCACGGCTGTATCAGACTGTGTTTCCAGGCCGAAGGTAGCCGAGTTGTTCAACCTTTGCTGCTGTTTATCGTCGCATTTCTGAGACAGGATCCGTGGCAGCACAAACTATGGATCGAGGAAGACGGGGATCCGGTCGTAAGCCCGATCATGAAGAACACATTCTAAAGGCTCTCGGAGACGATCCAGATATCATCATACGTCAACTGGGCCTAGCGCGTCGTACATCTCATAGTACCAAATAGAGGGTAATTCAAGAGCAGCTCTGTTGTCCCTATCATTTTTGTGCAGTGTCTTTCGCCCTCTGGTCATTCGCCACGGGAGAATATTTGCTGATAGGTTATTGCACAAACTGTTGATCCGTTGTTTGTCTCTTCAAACTTATTTACAGATGCGGCAACCTTTGGAAGTGATGGAAAAACAAATGATTACAACCAACATCTGTGAGTGGATCAGAATCCCCATGGTACAATACAGGCTAGACACCAGCATCAGTTTACGATTAATGTGTGGGTGACTGTCTGGTAGGTCCATATGTTTTACCAGCACGTTTTACAGAAGCTGTCTACAGGGACTTTATTTCGAATACACTGCCAGACCTGTTGGAGGATGTACCTCTGCTAACTCGAAGACGCATGTGTTTTATATATGATTGGATTCTAGTGTGGCACCATTTACGAGGCAGAGAAAGAAAGTGAAAGAAAAGAAGGCAGAAAGAAATCGAGACGGATCATAGGTGATAAAACAGCCACACACATGGCCTAAGAGACAATGAAAATATTGATAAGTAACAAGTGAAAAAGTGTGTCATTAGAATGACAGGGTATTTCTGAGTAAAAATAAAGAAAAGGAAAAGAAAGAAGGAACCAGATGTGTTTTGATAACGGCTATGTTATCTAGGTACGTAAACGAATGGCTAGACCACTGGCCCAGGAAAAATTCAAGTGAAAATGCTATTTCGATAAGTAAAGAGAAACAGGCCACTAAAAAGGACTTTGGACAGATATGAAAAATTAAATCCCACACAAGCAGAGCGCTGACCGAATTCCTTTCAACAAAACAACTTTGCCCTGCGATAATAAAATTATGTTATCAGACACATGTACCGAAGGAAAATAAATGGGAACCAGAAATGTTTTTCTTTCTTCCTTGGAGACGACAGACTGACTGAAATTTTTGGGGATAATTCTTTTCTGAGGCCATGTCGGGAAAACCAACCATCTTGATGAATTAGCGATAAACTATCTGACAAACGCCACGTGTTGAACAAAGAGTTGTCATATTATCCGTTCGTGGCTAGAGAAGTGATAACGGCGATTTGAAAGGAAGAAAAAGGAAAGAGAAGAGATAATTAATTTCTTTTAGTTAAGCAAGGTATTTTTTTTCCGAAACAAAGCCGCGGATTGTTCACATCCGACTAAGACATCATTGGTCAAGTGGTGATCACGTGACGCACGAAGGGGGAGGAAAGATACCCGACCAAGACCTCATTGGCCGAGAGTGATCACGTGACGCACGAAGAAGGCTGTCGACGCCCCCATCCAGAGTGTAAGTATGAGAAGCTGCTACGAAGAAGTGGGGAGGGCAGTTCACGCCCCTCAGAAGTATGGTGAGAAAGTGGGAGTGAAAAACAAAAGTTACCAAAAATGGAAAAGAGTGGAAAATCCCTAACCAGAAATAAAAGAGGTGGATATGTATTTAGAATTATTGAGGAACCCCTCGGACGCCAACAGACCCACCCCGGTTTTGGTCGGCGTCAATAAAAGCCAGGCCCCAACAGGCAGAAATCAGTTCGGGCTCTGGCGGCAGAGATGAGTGTCCAGAATGTTCGGGCCCTGGCGGCAGAGATGAGTGTCCAGAGAGTTCGAGCTCCAGTTTCCAGAGTTGAAGCCGCCTCGAGATAGCTGACCAAGATTCACGCAAAATTTCGGACTCCTCTTCAACCAAGAACAATTATTTTGAAGAGCGACTTAGGACCAGACCACCGAAATAAGTTTTTTTCGACTTTCGTCCAAAGACACACCGAAACACAAATTTCTTAGAGAGCAAACAACTTGAAGCGTTAAAACTTGCCTAGCGAAAACGACGTGTCACAATCCACAGAACGGGTCGGGAGATAGATGCAGTCCTATGTATCGAACAACTAGACATAAAGTTTGTTACCCTTTTCTTTGATACCTTGAACTTTTTGAGTTTTCATTTTATTTTCTTTTATGCATATTTGTGTGTTATCCCCCCCGTTGAACTCAATTTGCATTACGGCCCCAACCACTGTTTGATCTCGTCTGCCTAAGATCACTTCACAACGTGGGTAGGCAGACTGGAGATCAATGCAGTTACCTTGGTAACCAGGCGTTGGAAGCGAGTTGGGAACGACGAGGCTGATATCAAATCTAACCAGATTCCCACCCGAATCACCAAAAGGTTAGAACGTCACATTTGGGTGCCGCGACCGATACCAAGCCAGTTGGCCGTCACAGGACGAGACAACACGACTGACGCGACAGGCGGACGTCACGTTTGGAGCAGCGACACCCGGACGGAGCAGCGAGGAGCGAACAGCTGGCGCCGCGGCGAAGACGTCACTAGTGGTGCTGTTTGAGGACATCACAACTGGCGCCGTGGTAGATCAGGATAGAACGTCACAGTTGGCGCTGCGACCGGGGGACGACGTCACACTAGTACATTTTAGTCATATTGTTCGCGATGCACTGGCTGCCATCTACCATGGAAGATGGATAGATAGGGGACTACCGGACCCATGGCATGCACGTTTCCGCGACCAGAATCCTTTGGATTTTTATCTGTGGAGACACCTTAGACAATTTGTTTATGCAGCAGACATTAATAATGCAGAGACGCTTCTTCAACGTGTCATTTGGGCCAACGAAAAAATTCGATACCGTGTGGAAGTATTTGAAAGGGTCAGCCAGTCAATGATCCGACGGGTAGAAGCAAACGGAAGACAATTTAAACATTTGTTATGAGTTTCCCTGTTGAGGTACAACAATGGCCTTTTGGATATATGCTTATATGGAATTTTTTAGCATGCAGTTCTATGGTGAAATGGTTAGCATTCTGGTCTCTGAATCCAGCGATCCGGGCACCTCGGTGTGATGTAATGGTCAGCGAGCTTGTCTCGCTAGAACGATTACGACTGAGTAGTGAGTTCGATCCTCACTGGGTGTCCCATAATTTCGGCCTTGTGCCACATCTAAACTACGCTTGGAAAATCACTACAAGGACTTTTTGTATTTGTTTTGATGTGAGGAACCCGCCCCTAAATTTTGTAAAATATTTTTGATACCCATATATATATATATATATATATGTATATCTGTGTTTCAGATAAAAAATGTCAATAATGCCCTCCCCAATTGATAAAGAACAGTCTCTATTAGAGTTAAATCGAAGATTTTACTCCGAACAGTTGAGAAATTCATTCACATATCTGGAGTAAAAGTTCCGCAAATCTAGAACTTTACTAACACTTGATATAACAGATTTGACCAGATTACCACAGACATTTTTTTTTTCTGGAGAATTGCTTCTTCGTCAAGCCGAGGAATTTTCAGCACCTTTTCGTACATATGAATAGATATTCCACTTGAAATAAGTGAAATATTCACTTCTTCGCATTTACGCTGTTTGTTTTGTTTTGGCTTAGATGAGATTTCATGCAGCATTTCGTTCTTTCATTTTGCGATATAGTTTTGCTTTCGGGAAAATTGCCAAAATGAAAGAAAATTTTCTAAAGGTAAAAAACAACAACAACAACAACGACGACGAAAAAAAAACAGAAAAACTAGAGAAAAAAAGTGTGGGTATTTCACTTGCAAGATTTACGGATTGTTTCATTTCACGCATTTTTCTTCTTCGTTGAATTTTCTCAATTCATTTATTAATTTGTTTATTCATTAAATATTTACATATTTACAGAAAAAAGTAACTTTTAGTTCTGTGTTGCTTTTTCTACTCAGATTATTTATGCGTTAGCTAATGATTATCTGTCTCATTCTGTTCATATCTATCTATCTATCTACTCCTTTATATGATATATAGATTGCATCAAGATCCCATTGAAGAGGGCCATCATCATACAAAATGACGGCGAAGACTGTAGCCCTAGATCGTTCATCTATGAGGAAAGCAGTGCCCAATTGTAAGAGAGACTTCTAACAGAATCTTGTAGCGCATGAAAAACTCAAGAAGTATGTTCGTAAGGGTATTGACGTCAATTTCTCCCAAAAATGTTACTTCAGAATTTGACCTAACGCAAAATAAATGTTGTCGCGTCTACATAAGTCATTCACTACACATTATGCAAAAATTCTATTTTCAGAGTGTAAAAAGAATGCGCCTCCGTTGGTGGACTATTTGAAGATGGTTCGAGCAATGGCTTTGCTCGTAATCGAGTCGCAGCCATCATCTATCTCGGTCTGTTCATTATCTATCTATCTATCTATCTATCTATCTATTGATAGATAGATAGATAGATGTCGACAGCCTGAGATAGATAGATAGATAGATAGGAATGGATTCGTGTTCAAATGTCGACATAAAAACAGATTCAAATGCATTAAGAAGCAAAATTCATCCCCTAGCTCTTCAAATGTCCACAAACACACACACACACACACACACACACACACACACACACACACACACATATATATATATATATATAAACAAAAAACTAATTCTAAACTCCATAGTGAAATTTTTCCTTATTTAACTTCCCCTAAGTTACTCCTCTACCCCTCTAAAACCATTCATACTATATTGATTATAATTTAGAAACCTAATTCTCCTCCCTTAATCCTCTATATCTCCTTATCTATAACTTTTGTTTTTAAATTTATTTTTCGTTTCATTCTTAATTTCTACTTTAATTTTAAATTTAGATAAAAAAATAGTGTTGTATTCTAATACCACATTGGTCGTTATAAATTTAATATTTTGGTTCTGGGCTCCGTGCCTTAAGATAAGCACCTCTCACCCTCCTTAACCCATGCCTCGTGCGTAGCGTCCAACTGAAACAGTGAAACATATAAACTCTGTATTAAGGGTTACCGTCAAGTTATGGTTCAGCTTCCAATAACAATTCCTCACACCTAACTCCTGCTACCTTTCCCTTTCCACATGCAAGGCAGGGCTAACACGCACTACTTTTTTTTTCTTTCTTGGAGGTACATCTTCCAAGTCACTATTGTCACTGCTGTTACTAGGTTCTTGCATATATTCAGCATCATTGCCATTGTCATATAATTCTTCAAACTCTAAATTGTCCACTTCATCATCAGAACTCTCACATAAAATAGCCTCTATTCCACTGTCTGTAATTGATTTCTTACTCAAAGTCATTTTGAATAAACCTTTAATCTGTAAAATATATTTGTAAGTAACACATAATCACAATTTACACAGCCTCATAATCCTGTTTTTCAGTCCACCGTTGATCATTCTAATGTTACTGATATTGCCGTTATTCAAACTTTCAATGTTTCTATTGCCCAATTCCTTACTCAAATCGTGGATTTCCCTACTCGTTTCCCTAGCAAATCTGAGCAAAAAGATTCTTGATTTCCTACCTTTTTGGTTGGTCCACTGCACAATTTCATTGATGATTTCATCCACAAAGAGAATCACTTGGGATGTCGGCTTGGGAAGCTTGTTGGGAGGGGCCAAGCCGGACACCATGTAATATATTTCTTGCAGGAGTGGCTGTGTTGAGGCGTACAACAAGCTCATCACGATCTGTTTGAGGTACAATGCGTCGTCGTCGTCGTCGTCGTACACGGAGAGCAGCAGGGGCAACAGCAGGTGGAGTAGCAGGGCCAGCAACAGGGGCAGTATCAGGTGCAGTAGAAAGGCCTACCACATGCAAGGCAGGGCTAACCACGCACTACTTTCTTTTTCTTTCTTGGAGGTACATCCTCCAAGTCACTATTGTCACTAGGTTCTTGCATATATTCACCATCAATGTCATTGTCATATAATTCTTCAAACTCTAAATTGTCCACTTCATCATCAAAATTCTCATATAAAATAGCCTCTATTTCACTGTCTGTAAATTGATTTCTTACTCAAAGCCATTTTGAATAAACCTGTAATCTGAAAAGGTAAAATATATTTGTAAGTAACACACAAACACTATTTACACAACCCCATAATCCTGTTTTTCATTCCAACGTTGATCACTAAAATATTACGTAAACACTATCCTGGGTAGGCTATACCCGCCGTTCACAACACTGTGTATCAACAACCATGGGTATACCTTACCCAAACGCAGGCCTACAACACTCGGGATTAGATAGAGCGAGACGACTCAACCTTCCCCTACACTGTTAAGTGGGCAACTGAAGCTACTAAGCAGCTGGGACCCCTCAGAGCGCGGGAACCATACGTACGCACAATACTGTCATTTGCGCTGGGTACAATATACCCATGGTTAGTGTTCTAGGGTTAACATTATTTTTGAAGTAATACCTAAGTGTTATGACAGATGAATTTAGTATAATATTCAAAATCTAATTTGCCAGTGGGGTGGGGTGTTGACAAAGTATTTGTGCCCAAAGGAGGCGATGGTTGAGAAAATGTTTGGAAAGGCTAATCTATACTATTCGGATCGCATTTCTATTCTATCCTCTGTTACCATACGGTTCGCTATTCTCTATACTATTCCCTATTACTACACTAATCTCTATACTGATCCCTAAACGGCGAGTATTATCGAGCAAGTACTATTAGTACGAGTGACATTCGAAGGCGTCTGACACACAGTGTTGTTCAACGGCGTACTATCGTTTGTGTCTGCGATTACAAAGTCTCTACTACAACAAGAATTACTAAAGTGACAACGAGTATTCGCTGAGATCACAACAGTGACAATGGGTGTTCGTTGACATCACAAAAGTATAGATAGAATAAAATTCCGAGAACTAAAAATACTATTTTTTAAAAGTGCTCAATACAAAGTAGAACAAATAATGGTTATTCAAAAATTATAACATAAGCATGTTATAACATCATTACAAAAATAGCCATTTTATTTCAACACTTCTGGTGTCTTATCAAGTGATGGTGTTATATATATATATATATATATATATATATATATATATATATATATATATATCAAGTGATGGTGTTATATATATATATATATATATATATATATATATATATATATATATTATATATATATATATATATATATATATATATATATGAAAAATTTCTCAGAGTTAACCTGTAGAAAAAGACAATAATTATGAAGGTAAAGACAATAGGAAAACTGTGATATTAGCCGTGCGTTTCGTCCAATGTGGAACTTTTCAAGGCAAAAAGAAATTTAATTTATTAAAACAAAGTAACTATTAATAATTAATTAAGGATATTTTGTTTTGTTATTAATGGTTACTTTGTTTTAATAATTTCATTTCGTTTTTGGCTTGAAAAAGTTCACATTGGACGAAACGCGTCGGCTAATATCACAGTTTTCCTGTTGTTTCTACCTATATATATATATATATATATATATATATATATATATATACACACACACACAAACATATATATATATACACACACACACACAAACATATATATATATATATATATATATATATATATATATATATATATATATAATGAATTCTCCCGTCGTATGTGGGCACAGCAACATAGTTCTTACGACTAACAGCCCAACCACTCGCACATATGATTTTATTATAGTGATGAATGCTCATGTAGAACCAACCACACTTTTTTGGAAGAGCCAGATACAGAGAACTGGTACACTTAGTATACCACAAGGTCCCCAAAAGACCCTCCTCAGATTTTGAATTCAGAGTTTTCCTTCTCATAGACCGGTTACCACCCAAAGAACCCAATCTGTTCTGCCATTTACCCATACCTTTGGAAGAGGGGAGATAGATTCATACCTTTCACAAGGGTATTTGCACGAAAGTGAATGCAATGAACTCGACTGGAATTCGATCACGGCTCTCCGATTCGTTAATCCTTAAAAGCCAAAATTAGGATCATTACTTAGGAAAGCAGAACGTATACTTTTTTTTTTAACTGTTCATATTTCAAACGTTAGACTATTTATTTGTTAGGTAGGTATGGTAGGTTGTCCACCAAAATTAAGTTACTGGGAAGAAGCGGAATTATTTCTACCGATTGTTTGAGGTGTGCACAAAGACTTTTGAGGAAAGAATATCGAAGTATAAACAATTTCTTTGTCTTTCTGTTTGTTTGTACTTACCCTGAAGCATCGACACCCAAACGAAAATACCCCTCAAAGCGATAAACATCCTTGGTAATCTATACACGTTTGCACCCAATTCAAAACACTCCACGCCTTACCGTAACCGCGACCACCCCACAAATCCATGTATCGCTATATACTATCATCACTTGGTGAGATGAACGAAAGGCATAGCCAGTGACATATAGAGAAAAAAGATTGAGATAGATCTCTTCACGAGGGTAGGATTATATTGACAGCGAAAGGAATAGATGGTGTGTGTGTGTGTGGGGGGGAGATAATTTTTTACGAATATCTGAAATAAGCATTATCGTTAACATAAATTGGTTGTTATAATGATGTTTTATTTATTTTCACTAGTTATAATGATAATGTTTTATTTATTTTCACTAGTTAATCAGTCAATATAAGGCCCAAGTGCACCTCAAGGTAGAGGCTTACTGAATGAGTTATATGGATGCAAGAGGAGGGAGTAAGAAATGCAGTTGATGAGGATAGGTAGGAACGATAACGGTTGACACTGGACTAAGAGGTTAAGATTGTAGCGATCAGGGAAGAATCCTCTCTGTCCCATGAAGTAGCGTTTCTTAGGAAAAACTGTCCGAATGGAACTCCCTTCTTACTAATGAAATACGAAAGGAATTGGAGTTATTAATTACAGTGTACCTGACATGGAAGGACCTAGCTGCAAATGTATGGACTTGGGAGAACGAATGTTTTTAAGTCTTCAGAACATCTGCCTTGGAAATAGCAATGGAATAGCGAGTGTTTTGCGACGTTTCTTCTAAAGTTATTGTAGAATAGAAAATAATTCATCACTCATAAGACCGGACAATAAAGATTGTGAAGCCTCTACCTCGGATGTGGCAGCAGAGTTTCATTTTTGGTCATATCATGTAAAGATAGTGCATGGCGGAAGGAGTTAGATACTTTCTGGAACGATAAAAGGAATCGGCTCTTACCCAGCGTGTTTAGCGATGTATGTATGAGTTCCAACTGAGGTAAGACATTTCGGTCGTTTTATCCTCCACCCACTTTCAGGTGACCCCTATTACGGCAATTTTCGACCGAGCCTTTTCCATCCATAGGTGTAGATAATGTAAGAATCGGATGTAGACTTGAAGCTGCGGTTAATTTAGCATCTGTCTAATTAAGGAACATTAAGGCATTTACACTGCCTGAAGGTGGTGGCAGTTTAGTATTAGGTCTGATGTAGTATGCATTTCTATGGTAGACTTTCTGAAAACTGAAGGAAATCTGCCGTAGATCTTGAACAAGAACGAAAAAGATCACTTGTTGAACGAGTAAAAATAATTCAGTCAACATCTTCATACGTATGGTCTTCCATACATTCGCAATGATGGTATTTCATAAAGGCACAGCGAAATTTTAGTGTCTGTGAAGAAAAACACTATAAAGAATCTCTATAAAGATTCAAATTATAGCCGACATATTATTAAAAAAAATATTATTGATTAATCCTTTTCAGAGAACAGAAATACTTTTTTAGATTGAAAATTATTAATAAGTTTTGTGATGTCAACGAACACTCGTTGCCACTTTTGTAATCCCAACGAATACTCGTTGTCACTTTCGTAATGCTCGTTGTAGTAGAGATTTTGTAATCACAGATACGACTATAGTAACGCCGTTGAACAATACTGGTGTCAGACGCCTTCGAATCTCAGTAGCACTAATAGTACTTGCTCGATAATACTCGCTCGACAAGTGACCCGTATAGTGATCTGAATAGAGAAATAGTATAGTGAATAGAGTATAGAATAGCGGTCCGTATAGTAATAGAGGATAGATTAGAAATAGCGATCAATCTAGACGAATAGCGGTCCGTATAGTAATAGAGGATAGATTAGAAATAGCGATCAATCTAGACGTCACGCGACTTCCTATATATGCATTTTCTCTATAGTCACGTGGTTTACTTAATTCAATAAAGGGGATCGCTTGTGTTTGCTCACTGGCGATATATGTTCAAATTCAAATGTCGGCAGCGACACTTTATTCCTATATAACAATAAGATATGTCATTCCTACTGATTGAATACCAACTTAAAAATTCAATGAATTTCATGTATAGATATTAGGAATGTTATACACTTAATGTAACACATTAAAATTGAGCTAAGCATTTTTTTCTGTTAAATATTCACTATCCTTTAATTTCTACTATTATGTCCGTGCACCTGGTATAAATAAAGGCCAGTTTATCAAGTAAGCAGACCGTTCGATATTTTGAGTCGGATGTAATAGTTCGAGTCAGTAAGGTATCGTCTAGTGTCTAGTATATTTCATGCAATAATTGTCTTCATAAGAAGAAACTGGGCTGAAAAGAAAAAATAACAATTTTTTTCGCAAAAAATTGCAACTATTTCTGTAATATTTAAATTTTGAATTTATAATTTATCTGATTTCATCTCTGCTTTTCCTTTGCTTTGTGGACAAGTTGAATATTCATCCCTTTAACTTTGCGCAAGATCATCTATTGCGATTAACCCACCTATAAGCAAATAAAACAATCTTCCCATATCTTATTTAGAGGAAACTGAAGATATTCCCGTTAGGTGTGAATATAGTCCGCTTGTTCACTAAGGTTTTCACAGGTGAGGCTCTATTTGTGGTTCGAGACAAACTGAAATCTGATTCCGTGCGTGTATTTCGAGAGATATTCCCATAGAAATGTTATGTTCTCTGTACAAACGACGTATTGTCGTTGGGATTCTGGCATATAACGAAAAAGGCTTTTTGGATTTTCCATTATCTCTCGTGATTGCTAATATGTCTACAGAATACTTTGTAGCAATACAATTTCACACACGTCCTTAGGAGATAAATAGATAGATTCTTTTTCTTTTTAACTCAATTTAATGAGCAGGGTTTCTTAGGAATCTTGTCTCCAGCCTATCTTTGAGTCAATTTAATGACCAGAATTTTCAGGAATCCTGTCTGCATGTCGCCTTTGAATTGGAAACATAAAATTTTGTCAGCGATTTTAGATAAAGTGAACGTTTCGGAATCCTTTTTCTGTGGCCGGAAATTAGTGAGATACTAAAAGTCCACTTTCTCGAAGCAGAAAGAAGACATTTGCTACTTCCCAACCAGTGTCTTGAAAAAATTTGTTCTTATTCTTTGTTGGATTTGATCACGGCCTTAATATTGAGATAAAGCTGTGAACATAGCGAGCCGGGTGTGTTATGCATAGAGCTGACCTTGGGTGTCATCACAGCTTGTGCAGTGACGTACAGAAACGCATCATCACAATTTCGTGGAAGTGTTTTCCAGTGCAAATACTGCTGAACGATGTGAAGTGGTTGAATGAAATAGTCAGAAACCTGCCCCAGTCTGTTTTAAGGGACATCTAGATAAAGATTAAGAAAGTCTGTAGTTCGTACATCAGGTGAGTATTCGAAAAGTATTTCACTCTCTGGAACTGTTTCTCATTAAGAAAAGAAAACGATCAAGAATTGTACATATTCAATTTCACACAGGTTTGGAAGGATATAGAAAGGTTATACAAGCCACTTCGTAAAAGAAAGCTGTACTATGAGAGTGATTGAAGCGATGGAATCTGGAATGGCAGATAATGTTTGATCATTGTGCTTGGTTATGTGATTTTAAAATATTTGGGTTATTTAATGCCGAATTTGTTTGATATACTCAGTAACTCATTGCTTAATAGTAATGGTTAAACCGAGAAATCTCGATAACCCTTGCATCACGACGAGGTACCTCCTCGTCAAAGTAGTCAGTATAATAAGAGATGAACACTAGAAGATACGATAGAAGCAGAGTATAAACTAGGCTTCAGTATAAACTTCTTCAGTAGGCCTAGCATAGAAATTAACACTACATATTGGAGCCTGAAAGAAAGATAGAAAGAAAGAACAAAGGAACGAATGACAGAACGAACGAAAGAAAGAACGAAAAGAAAGAACTAATGGAAGAAAGAAAGAAAGAAAGAACGAAAGAACGAACGAACGAAAGAGAGAAAGAACGAACGAACAAGCTGAATAAAGAAAGATGAAAAAAGAACGAAAAGAAAGAAAGAAAGAACTAATGGAAGAAAGAAAGAAAGAAAGAACGAACGGAAGAAAGAGAACGAAATAACGAAAAACAAAACAAAACAAAAGAACGAAAGAAAGCAAGAATAAAAGAAAGAAGGAACGAACGATCGAAAGAAAGAAAGAACGAAAGAAAGAAAGAACGAACGACCGAAAAAAAGAAAGCAAGAAAGAACGAACGGTAGAAAGAAAGAAAGAATGAATTAAAGAACGAGAGAACGAACGAATGAACAAAAGAAAGAATGAAATAAAACGAAAGAAAGAAAGAAAGAACGAACGAACGGAAGAAAGAACGAAAGTAAGAAAGCAAGAAAGAACGAACGGAAGAAAGAAAAAAAAGAAGAAAGAACGGACGAAAGAAGGAAAAGTAAGAAAGAATATGTTACTTACGACTTAAAGATTCCACCTCCTAATTGCACTACAAGCAATGCCAAATCACACACACTAGTTCAGTTAAAGAGGCGAACAAGGGAAGGCCTGATGTTTACCCCATCGAATTGTTCTACGGGACATGACCTGGTGGGTAAAAGTGTTTGGAATCACCACGTGCTAGTATACAGTTCAGCTAGTGAGTAATGGTCATATACTCTGATTTAAGATGAATTAATTGATAAATAATATTTTCTGAAAGGTTTGAAATTGTGTTGAATAAGTTCAATCAAGCGTGCATAACAATGAAAACATTGCAACTGCAACAATCAAGATGAAGACACCAGTAAAAACATCTAATCTAGATATGAAGAGACTGAAGAAAGATGAGATGACGTCACATAGGCACAGAATAGAGATGCTGCTGATAGGTATAACTAGATTGATATTAAATAAATATGTACAGATCGATACGAGGTCGGTGGCGAAGGGACTGAGAAGAGCTTGAACATCTCAAATCCCAATATCTGAGTAAACGACCAAATATTAGAATTTCTTTATGGAATACCTTTTTGGTCGGCCTTAGAACTTTTCAGCCCCCTCGTTGATAGATAGAGAGATAGATAGATAGTGAGTGGGACAAGAGAGAAGGAGAGGGAGAATGATGACCTTCATTCGATGTACGGGCTTTGATGAATTCGCAAGAAATTCCGTTCTCTGACTATCTCTGCCAAATGCTTCGCAAATTTATCTGGTACACACCAGTATCAGAAGTCGATATTTGATCTCATAAAAAATTCCATTTATATCAGGTAATTCTACGAGTTCTGTTGGTACCATGTAACACACTTCTATCTGCCGCGTGCCCAAGTTATCGTTGACTCAACAAGCACGATTAAAAAAAAAAACAAAAAAACAAAACAGATATATGTTCCAAAATTACACAAAAATATTTTGAAATACTAAAGAGTAAATTTAATCAATAAAATCATCATTGGCTTCAACTAAGAACTCCAGATGACTTCAGAATTTCCTGCAATTCTTCTGGGCGGCCTCCTCGTTGACGATCCACACTATATTGAACATAATTCTAGGAAGGAAAACGCTACAAATAGTGAAAACAGTTGGGGAGTTGAGCAAGCAATTTTCCGGAATAATTGCTTTCGGTGAAAGATTTCTTGAATTACAGTCGAAAGTAGCACTGACTGCTCGGTCAAGAATGCCCAATGTTTCATTATGAGAAAAAAGGTTAATAATACCATTATCATTAGAGGTGAGGAGAACAATTTGATCCCAATCCAATGGTGAGGAAATGAAGAAAAACCTTACTTGAGTAGCACTGTCTGCTAGGTCAAAGTATGCCCAATGTTTCCTTATGAGGAAAAGGCTAATATTACCATTATTATTAGAGACACGGAGGACAGATACTATACTTTAATCCCAGCCCAATGGTCAGGAAGTGAAGAAAAGTCTTACTTGAGTAGCACTAGCAGCTGGGTCAATGAATTCCAAATGTACCTTATAAGGAAAAGGCTAATATCACCATTATCATTAGAGATGAGGAGAACAGATACTACACTTTGATACCAGGACAATGGTGAGGAAGTGAAGAAAAGTCTTACTTAAGTAGCACTGGCTGCTCGGTCAATGAAATACCGAATGTTTCCTTATATGGAAAAGTCTAATATTACCATTATTTTTCGCCCCCAGTTTAACGCAAAAAGAAGTATGAAGAAATTATGATTATCCAAATGACTGATGGAAGTCCATTAAAGATACTGTTAACAAAGATAAATGCAATGCACGGCCCTTGTCAATATGTCTGCATAGCAGCCCCATAATACGTTTTTAGCTTTTCTTTTAAGCAATAAAAGCTGAAAGCTCGTTGGGGAAGAAAAAGACAGGCGAACACGTCTATTCTTACAGTTCTACATTAGATTTCATGTGATGCTTTTATATATATATATATATATATATATATATATATATATATATATATATATTTGTATGCGTGTGTTTTTGCGGGTGTATGTGGTATGTGTGTGTGTGAGAGAGACAGAGAGATTCTTCTGTCAGTGGCAAGGCGCACATATTCTTTTACAGGGACTAACATCTCATCAAATGTTTAACCATATTCTGTAAATATCTGCTGCTCTTAGGATTGACGTCAAAGCAGCTGCCCGTTGTTTCCGTTCGGTCTAATAGCTGACGTTACAAACTACGGACGGGATGCCTTGCGTCGTTCATCTACTTCCCTCTATCCCCAATCCTAAACACACACACTCCCCTGCTAGAAAATTATTTTCAAGCTTATTTTAGACTGGTACAAGGCCGAAGTAGTGGAGTACCTAGTTAACTCGAATTGATTTATTGGACGAGCTTATTAGCCCTCGTTGAACGACAGGAGTCTATATTTACATTTTTTTTTGTTCTACCGTTTTGACACTTTAAATATTTTTTCGTCTTCACTCTCATTAAGAACCCCTTTTTGTTTCATATCGAGAAAAAAAATCTAATTTATTAAGCACTTCAGAGTGCTTTGATTTGATAGTGAAATATAATTAGGAGATTTGGGTAGTAAGATTAAGTTGTACAAGGCTTAAAAGCGCGGACATATTTCCCCTCCCCTTTTAAAATCATTTCGCTTCAAGCTAGGTGATAATGTAACTAAGACGCAGGTGGGAGGGTGCTACTGGGAATAAAAGAGAATGAAAAAAGACTTTAGTGAAATGCTAGGTAGAACGACCAATAACATTACAGAACTTTCTTTGGATTTTGCTGAAAATCTCGACATATATAATAAAGCACCAGACTAGATATGTCAGCAACCTCCAATGCACAAACGAATGGTACATTTATAAATGTGCAAGGCTTACGGCTGCTTCACGTTGAGACACCAGTTCCCGTATGATCACCGAAGTTAAGCAACATCGTCATTACCTAGATGGTTGGACGCTTGGGAATACCAGGTACTGTAAGCGTGGATGTGCGGGTGGTGAACTGGATAATGGCTTGGAATTTTTAATCGGAAAGCCGACCTCCAATTCCAGTTCTTTATATTCACTTACGTACAAATACCTTTGGGAAAGGTATAAATCCAACTCTTCCCCCAGCTATGGGTTAATTAGTAAAACTCGTATGACGAAGCCATTATTATTTAAAAAAAACAATCTAAAATATTTTCTGGCTTCAAATAACCAACAGATGGTTGATAAGCCGTAAAAAATCAATAAATTGATCAATCAATAAATGGGCAAGAGGGATTCCGAAGTGAAAAATTGTCTGATACGGCACTGTGAACCAATTTTTCTTGAAGCAGACATTGCAACTGGGTCATTATAATCAATCCATTTCATGTCAGCGAAAAGTGTGAGCCTAGAAAGTGTTACTACCTTTGAAAATCAGCATTCAATATCACGACATTTATTGAGAATCGAACAGCAAACACTGAAAATTGATTGGAAATCTACAGGTTTGATAGAAATTTGCAGATTTCTCTTACGAAGAGCAGCATATTTTTATTTTTTGGACTACTATTTCTTTCATCTTAATTTTGTTGCGTTGTATCGTCAGATCGTCACTCTGCAATCGTCAGTAAACAACATGGACCAAAAATAAAAAAAAAATATGCTGCTATTTGCTCAATGTTAACAGCAGAAGGGCAATGTAACCCAGCACTATGGTCGGAGCATCGGTGACTAAAGTAGCTTTTTTTTCTGACGGCCACCGTGGTAAATATAAATTGGGTTTAATAACTATGTATGGATCCAGTGCAGTGATGACACGGCATCACTGGGCAGAGGGTTTCCTAGACTGAAGTTGACGGCCAAAGGACAGGATTCCTCAAAGGAAGGTGGCCACAAGTTCGTAATCAAAACAAGCGTTCAAGCTGTGGGTTTGGCCTTGAAAGGGATGGCATCTGCTCGGTCTACTTGCCCGGGACACTATAAGCATGAATGAATAACTTACCGGCTTTCAAAACTGATATGTCGAGTGAATTAGTCAGGTGCTCAGTTGCGCAGCGACACTACGGCCACGCACGATCATGTGTGATGTTGTAGCATATTAAGATTTCAGGAACACTTTTTAAGCCTATAGTTTCACAAGCTAGTCTCAATAGCTAGTCTCAATATCCAGTTCGATTGTTTTCAATAATTCCTATTTAAAATTATCTATCTATCTATCTATCTATCTATCTATCTATCTATCTATCTATCTATGCATCATAATCACTATCTATCTATCTATCTATCTATCTATCTATCTATCTATCTATCTATCTATCTATCTATCACTCAGTTTCTTTCTTTCTTTCTTTCTTTCTTTCTTTCTTTCTAACTATCTATCTCTCTACCTATCTATCTCAGTCTGCTCATATCTATCTACGCGTGTAGTTATGTGGCTGTATATGAGAATGTTTGTAATGATAAAACTATAATGTTGCATTAAAAAGGAGTGTTACGCATTAGCAAAAGTACCCACGCAGCCGTGCAAAAATGCATATTAATATATATGTGTACGTTCTCTCATCTAAACTTGCATATATCAACATAAATATGTCGTACGCAACCATGCTTAAGTAAATGAAAGCCATTTTTTCAAATAAAGGACGCCAGAAATTTACGTACGTAATGCACCCCATATATATATATATATATATATATATAAACAAGGTGGAAAGAAATAATCACATGATGCCGAGTAGCACGTACATGGTTGTTTCTTTCAGCATAGCTTAGATGTGGCACAAGACCGAAAGTATAGTGCACCCAGTAAGGATCGAACTCATTACTCAGTTGTAATTAGTCTAGCAAGAAAAGCTGGCTAACCATTACACTGCCTCGAGGTGCTCATAGATAGATAGATAGATAGATAGATAGATAGATAGATAGAATTAATTATATAAATTTAACTGTATAATAATAAATAATATTATTTTAATAATTTAAACTATTTATTTTTAAATTTTTTATGAAAGATATATATCCAAGAACAGATAGTAAAAAGTAAAACGTTGCTGAGAGTTATAATGGACAGGAAGTAGTGGAGAGCCATTGTTGCCAACAATTTGGACTCAAAACTGGCACTGAAGAATTATCTATCAAACAAAAAACATTTCATCGAAATCGGATGAAATCTGTGGAAACACATAAACAACAACCGTTCACACACAGGCACATACATGCACATACACATTTTGTGAATTATATATGTGTGTGTTTGTATATGTGTGCATATGAGTCAGTATAGAACTCTCTATTAGGTCGCAATTCGGTGGGGGCAAGAAAGTGAGTGTGGGAGATACTGGTAGTCTGTACTGTTCAGAAGCCGTCGATGCTTATGCGACACGAAATTACAAGACATCATGACCGAGCTTTTGAGCGTGCTCTGCCTCGTTGAAACTGCTGATTACTCCAAATAATGCGCTCTTTACCAGAAACTGAAACTAAGGTTCGCTCAGTACAAAATGTAGTATAAAGCACAGTTGGGCTCTATGGCTGTTGAACAAATACAAATGCGCCTGAGCAGGCGTCTGCAACAGGGATTGACTAAGCTTGTGTTCGGAAAATAGTTACTGGCGTTTATCATAGTCATATGTATTTCGAAAAATTCGTATTCAGAATGGATGTAACACACACACACTACACACGCACACACAAACACACACACACACGCACACACACACATATATATCTATATATATATATATACCTAGTGAGCCAGACAAATCTACCTAGGTAATCTAGGTAGGTTTGTCTGGCTCACTAGGTGTATCTCGGTCTGCTCTACGGTTGTATTGAGCTCTTTTGTTAGTTAGTTGTTTACTCGTATCGGGGTTTTTTCTTTGGGCTTCAGACCTGCATCTGTGCGATTTTTTTTGTCGGCAGAAGTTCATGTTTGTAGCTCTTTCTTTTTTAAAACCTTTTTTCCCTCGAGATCGATTTGATTATTAGCAAATCAAAAATTCGAGGGTTTTTCGAAACGAGTATAGTTATCTATAATTATATATATATATATATATATATATATATATATATATATATATATATATATATATATTATATTCAACTGTATCGATATGAGTTTGTGACTCTGAAACGAGAAATCCAGGGTCAAAAACTCATATCCATACACCCCAATATGCTAGCTCTATCACTGATATTGAGCACTTTCCACTATCTACTGAGCATATGAAATAATATATATATATATATATATATATATATATATATATATATATATAGTTTTAAAACAAGGAATTTATTGATTTTAATTTTATTAGTCTCTAAGGCCCTTTCAACCAACATCTCATCAGGAGACAATCGTTTGATCATTAATTAACGAAAAGAACAGTAACGAAAATAAAGAGCAAAAAAAAAAAGAGGGGGAACACACTAAAATAACAAACAAGTGTCTATACTTGTAACGAGGGGAGGGGAAATAACGTGTAAATAAATTAGCGAGGGACAGTTAAAATAAAATATCCCCCAACAGATTAAGGGACTTTACAAATTCTTTCTGCCGGCAGAGAGAAGGTTTCCTTAATCCTATACAGACTGATTCCAAAATCTTCAAATGATTGGTGGAACCAGCCGTATGAATGATTTTAAATCACTCTTTTTCATACGACTTGGCACTGGCTATATTCTCAACCAAGTGTTGAGCAATAGCCGATTCCATATTTATGGGGGGAAGATAACACATTTTATCTATCTTACCAAGTCGTATTTTGGAAGGTACGTGCTGATTAATTCTAGTTTTCAAATGCAAGGTTGTACGCCCCACATAACCAGCAGCACACTGGCAATTAAACTCATATACTAAATTACTCAATTTGATGTAGGGCAATTCATACTTGCGAAACGACGGAAACGCAGACCTAGTTTGAAAAATGCTACGTAAAGCAACTGATGGGAAACAACCGGAAACCGACTTTCTAACCTGCTTAATTAAGCCTTGGCCCCTATACACAATCCAGGGAATCTTCAAATAAACCGGACATCTAGAAGGCCCCTGGACTTTAGGGGAATGAAATTCCTTAGTCTTCTTACTTATAATATAGTCAATAAGGGGCTCCGGATAGCCATTACTGAGGAAAATCTCCCTAATGTTCTCAAATTCACGGTCCAATTTGGTATATATATATGTGTGTGTGTGTGTATGTGTGTGTGTGTATGTATGTATTATAAACTCTTATATTAGAACATGTAAGAAACCACTACAAAATTGTACATAATACATGTATTGAACTACCTGATGAGACGTTTTATTAAACGTCGAAGCAAAATGCACAATTTTGTAGTGTATATTTACATGTTCTAATGTAACAGTGCATAATAAATATTTATTGCTCTACTCTGGTATTGAGTCCTGTTTTAAATTAATGTTTTGAAGTTGCAATTTCATTCTTCTTTCTTTTACATTTGTACACACACACACACACACACACACACACACACACACACACACACATATATATCGTATCATATCAATCTATCTAAGTATTAAGTATAAATAGTTTTTAAACTTATATACACTTTAGACTTACATTGCACCTTCGTAAGATTATATGTGCAGGTATAGTGCGAAATAATTCCACAACATATATATATATATATATATGTGCGTGTGTGTGTGTGTGTGTGTGTGTGTGTGTGTATTTATGAATGTGTGTGTGTGTGTGTGTGCAATGATGAGTATGTGTGTGTGCGTAAGTCTCCTTACCCACGAACACTAAACCCCATTCATCTGATCATGGTGCCTGTTACCGCTCTTCTTCGCATTTTTCTTTCTTTCCCACCTATTCGCATCCACCCGTTTCTGATTTAGCCCTTAGAGAAAAAAAGAGCATTTACCCGTTTCTTACCGACGCCAACCCTCTAATCCTTATAGTATCGCTTGCATTGCCCATCAGGCACCCCACCCTACGCATCACTACAATGTTCACCTCGCATTTTGAGCACATTGCCGACAGATGTTCCAAAATAATTTAGAACAGAAGGAAACGAATGAAGGTAATATATAAAAGAATAAAAAAAAAGATGTGTAGATAATCAAAAAGATGCAAGAAAACTGGAGACATTGTTTCGAAAATCATGACGTTTTTTTTTGTTTTTTTTTGCTTATATAAAGTATTGAATGAAGAGAGAGAAATAGGAAAAAGATATCTTGAATTTGTTCTTCTATGCGCCGTCTCCATTCAGGACGTAGGAGATCATGGCTCTCCACAATACCCTGTTCTTTGAAGCTCTTAATAAATGCTATCTCTCCTAAAAATTATTCGGTAAATTTTCATTTTAACACCCGAGAATCATTCACTGCTAAACTATTTTCTTTCAGAAATTAGTACGCGCTTCCGTAAAGCGATTTATTTTTGTACTTAATTTAAGAAGAATGTTAACTTTCAAATATATGTAAACATCGACAAATAAAAGAATAACAAAAGAAAAAAAACACCTAACCCTAATTTGAAAGTTAATTTTCTTCTTTAAAAAAATATTAGAAAAATAAAATAATAACCAAAAAAAAAAACACCTAACCCTAATTTGAAAGTTAACTTTCTTCTTAAATTAAGTACAAAAAATCGCTTTACGGAAGCGCGTACTAATTTCTACAATGAATTACTGTGAAGGAAGTAAATAAGTCCAAATTGTATACGCCCACCAACAAAATTCAGCACTGAATTACTTATCAATAAGCCGGTAATGGCTGACGAAAGACCAGGAAAAAGTCCGATTTTTTTCGGATCGTTAACATCCAAAAAGGTAGGTTTCTTCAATAACTAATTGTTGATTTCTTCAATAACTAATTGTTGATTTGAGTTTGCACGGAAATAAGACTATTTTGGAAAAAAATTGAAGGGATATTAACGCTCGGGTGTTAAAATAAAAATTTACCAATTATTCCGCCATCTATTAACTCAAGCTCGTTTTGTAGGTTGCTTTCCTCTGTCCATTTTAACCTCAATCTGTCCTGTGAGTATCAGATTCTCCAAGCGCTCTTTCCTCATTATGTAGCCTGGACATTTCAACTATCTCTTCCTGATGTTAATTATAAGTTCGAATGAGTTAAAGGAATAAAAAAAGTCTTTGGACAACGGACGTTGGAAGCGTAGTCAGTGTTTAATTCGAGTCTGAGCATCTGAGAAAAGAACCTTGTCTTCGAGTCCAGTATTTAATTCTAGTCTGAAGGTCTTGTCAGTGGACATCTTACGCATGCCTCGTGTTTGTCATCCTAGCAAGCTTGTATATCTTCGATAGTGCGGCTGCGTGTTACATGAAATTACACTTTGAAGGAAACAGAGTTTAAGCCAACCTGTTTCCTTTTCTCTCGGCGATTTAAGAAAAAAAAAAAAAGAGTAAAATGATGGCGGTAATGGCGTGAACAACTGTTTCCGTACAGCAAACATTCGGCAATCAGTGAACCAACAGTCAGCGTTATTGGCGGTTGAAATTTATAAAATCATTCTTTAAAAAACAGGAAAGATAGGCTTCTGAAGTTCAGTTATTATTCATTAAACCCTTGCCTGAAAATGAAACTTTCCAAAAACAATAGTCTTGGTATCTTTTTCAATCTAGTTTCCACGAAAGATTTTCTTGAAAAGACAGAATATCATAAAATGATCATTCAGTCTCTTAAACAAAGAATTTAATAAAGGCGCATGCGTGCGTGTATTTGTGTTGTCTGATGTTAAGAGTGTAGTGATTGAGAAAGCATCTTCTTGCCAGTTCCTTCCACAATGCATATGAATTATTTATGCCTCTAGAAAAAATTGTCAGTCTCCTTGACTGTGGTGTGCCACGATTTTATCTATGTAGAAGTAGGAAATATGTTGTTACATTATCTGTCAAACTTGATAAAGGCCATTTACATATGGTATATCCAGAATGTATCCAGGTAATCTGAATATGTCTTGGTGAAGTCTGTAAAGAAATAAGGGAACGTCGTCGTCGGCACACGTTCTCATCCGGTCATCGGGATCGTCATCCTCTCTCCTTATTCCCTTTCTCTTCTCTGCTGACGAAGATGGCTGTGAAGTCCCAGCCTATTCCTGAAGATTTGTGATCAGGTATCAGAGGATTGTAGGTGGTGGACGCGGCAGGGTTAGTCTGGCCTGTCTAATAGCACATCGCAGATCCTCTTCATGTTGACGATTGTCTCTAGAAAGTCTCCCCCCGCCACTGAATGGTCCTACACCAGGAAGGCCGATTTGTAGGAACGTTCTCCCTAGTCTCAGGGTCGATGCTGGCCTGTGTCAGGCATGTTTTCAACTGATCCTTGAAGCGTCGTTTTGAACTTACGCTTATCCCCTTGCCGCTGGCGAGTTCTCCAAACAGGACAATACGTGGGAGTCGAATGGGACACATTCTTGACACGTGACCCTCCCGTATAAGTATGCGTATACGTAAAGAGGTATCCTCCTGTAGTGTTACTCTTTCGGCAGTGCGAGGCAGTAAGTTTGATTTTCAATATTGTGTGACGTTTGCATACACAACAGAATATAAACCAATTTCTTCATTGGAAATGATTCAATTAGAAGAAAATTTAGGAATGATTCAAATCAGGGAAACATGGATATAATTTTCGTACCGACACTTCCATCTTGTCGGGGAATCTCTTGAAAAGAGTCGATATTCTGGAGAACCTCCAACAAGCAGAAAATATTCAAGCTTGCAATTAAAGGAAATCGGTGTTAACTAGATCTATCTATCTATCTATCTATCTATCTATCTATCTATCTATCTATCTATCTATCTTATTCTCTTCAACTATCTATCTATCTATCTATCTATCTATCTATCTATCTATCTATCTATCTATCACTGTTCACATCTATGTTGAAACGTAGGACTATATAAACGAAAAAGAAAGGTAAGAAAGAGGATACTAATCATTATCTATCTATCTATCTATCTATCTATTGCAGGCTATTCATATCTATCTATCTATCTATCTATCTATCTATCTATCTATTGTAGGCTATTCATATCTATCTATCTATTGCAGGCTATTCATATCTATCTATCTATCTATCTATCTATCTATTATATGCTATTCATATCTATCTATCTATCTATCTATCTATCCATCTATTGCATCTATTCTATCTATCTATCTATCCATCTATTGCAGGCTATTCATATCTATCTATCTATCTATTTATTGCAGGCTATTCATATCTATCTATCTATCTATCTATCTATCTATCTATCTATCTATCTATCTATTGCAGGCTATTTATATCTATCTATCTATCTATCTATCTATCTATCTATCTATCTATCTATCTATCTATCTACCTTAGCTTTGAAATATCTATATCAGCCTATTCATATTTATCCCGGTCTCGGCTATTGAAACACTGGAAAATGCTTCCTAACAAGTAGTTATTAACGGCCAGTCCCCAGGGCCCTGACGGTCTACGCAAATATTCCCAAGGAGTCACTTCAACCTGCTTAAGAGTATATTCCGATCATTTGTGAATATCTATGCTGACGATACAACTGTATATAGGTGCACTTCCAAAACTCGAGATGACCAGTGATTGACAGCTGATCGATCTTTGATTAAGTTTTATAAGCTGATAGTGTTCCAGATAACCGCTAGTCACGATGAATCGATGTCCCCTAGAGGAAGCTCCGTGCCTTGAGAGAATATTGGGACTTAAGCTCAACCCAGACCTCAATTGGAATTCGTACAAGCGATCCATTGCTAAAGATACAGGTAAAATGGTCGACTCCCTGTACCGCTCCATTAAGTACCCGACTCCTGCTATCCTTTACCTTTACAAGAGCCAGATTAGGTTTAAAATGGAGCACTGCTGTGATAGTTAGGCAGGAGCTGCCCAGTCCTTACTTTCCAGTCTCGATAGAATCCAAAATATTCTTATAATCTAAATATATATTTGGGTTTTAAATGACATTCAGAAGCTTTTGATAAACCTTCAAAAATTATTCAACCAAACAAAATTCTGTCGTTTTATTTGAAATATTCAACGTGCTTAATCTTCTTTTATAAAATTATTATTACTTCTTTTTATAATTCTTCTGGCAACTGTCATCTATCTATCTATCTATCTATCTATCTATCTATCTATCTATCTATGTTCATACATATGTCTGTCTGTCTGTCTCTATCTATCTATCTATCTATGTTCATACCTATGTCTGTCTGTCTGTCTGTCTGTCTGTATCTATCTATCTATCTATCTATCTATCGATCTATCTATCTATCTATCTATCTATGTTCATACCTATGTCTGTCTGTCTGTCTGTCTGTATCTATCTATCTATCTATCTATCTATCTATCTATCTATCTATCTATCTATCTATGTTCATACCTATGTCTGTCTGTCTGTCTCTATCTATCTATCTATGTTCATACCCATGTCTGTCTGCCTGTCTGTCTGTATCTATCTATCTATCTATCTATCTATCTATCTATCTATCTATCTATGTTCATACATATGTCTGTCTGTCTGTCTGTCTGTCTGTATCTATCTATCTATCTATCTATCTATCTATCTATCTATCTATGTTCATACCTATGTCTGTCTGTCTCTTTCTATCTATCTATGTTCATACCTATGTCTGTCTGTCTGTCTGTCTATATCTATCTATCTATCTATCTATGTTCATACCTATGTCTGTCTGTCTGTCCCCATCCATCCATCTATCTATCTATGTTCATACCCATGTCTGTCTGTCTGTCTGTATCTATCTATCTATCTATCTATCTATCTATCTATCTATCTCCATCTCTATGTTCATACCCCATGTCTGTCTGTCTGTCTGTCTGTCTGTCTCTATCTATCTATCTATCTATCTATCTATCTATCTATCTATGTTCATACCTATGTCTGTCTGTCTCTATCTATCTATCTATCTATCTATCTATCTATCTATCTATGTTCATACCTATGTCTGTCTGTCTGTCTCTATCTATCTATCTATGTTCATACCCATGTCTGTCTGTCTGTCTGTCTGTATCTATCTATCTATCTATCTATCTATGTTCATACCTATGTCTGTCTGTCTGTCTGTCTGTCTGTCTCTATCTATCTATCTATCTATCTATCTATCTATCTATGTTCATACCTATGTCTGTCTGTCTGTATCTATCTATCTATCTATCTATGTTCATACCTATGTCTGTCTTTCTGTCTCTATCTATCTATCTATCTATCTATGTTCATACCTATGTCTGTCTGTCTGTCTGTCTGTCTGTCTGTATCTATCTATCTATCTATCTATCTATCTATGTCTTATGAGTACTGAAAGATTATCGGCCCCACTTTTCAAAATATAAAGAAATGATCAAATATCTCGTTTGTGAGGAGGTGCAACGCTTCTTTTTTTGGGGTCGAGAACATTCCAACCACCGAGTGTCATATCCCATACAGTTTTTATATCTTCGTTCTTAAATCACAGCTCTTACTCAATGTATTTCTCCAGTTTTAACAAATTAGGACTTGCCTTCCCACAATATCTTTTAGCATCTTTTAGTATCTTGTAAAATGATATTCCAATTAGCCTGACCTGTTCTTCCCCATTTTTCTTTCTCCGCGTCATCTCTGAGGTCGACACTCATAAACTTTTAATATTTATTGCCGCTTCTATTTTCCCCAGCGTGCAACTAATTTTCATGATAGTTCTCCGCTCTGGCGTTTATTGTCGAAAGAATCGCTGCCCGCTGTAAGTAAATAGATGTTTCTTGTTACAGTACAAGACACATTTTATCACTGATAGGATAAGGGCTTTTACAGACTCAAGAACTATGCCGATTTTCATTTACTTGCAGTCTTCCGAAGAATGGATTTTAAAAAGGCGACGTCCCATTGTCTTCCGGCGGAGTCTCAGCCATGGAATCAAGTACCAGCTAACGGAAACACACACAGAATCTCTCTCTCTCTCTCTCTCTCTCTCTCTCTCACACACACACACACGTCCTGGGTAAGACGATAAACTACATCCGTGTCCTGGGTAAGACGATAAACTACGTCCGACAGCAAGACCTCTGATCAGGAGGTTTGAGGAGCATGGAACCACCTCTTAATTGCTGGTGTCCCTAGGTCAAACATGGCTCGGGGTGTTAGCACCTATCAGGGTTCCAGAAATAATTACCCACCCCCACTCAAAAGGGATCAAAATACAATGAAAGTATAAAAATAGTGTTTAATACCGGCAATACACTTGAAGGAATGATAAGAAAAATATTACCAGCAGTACATTTTTGAAAAAGAAAAATATTACCAGCAGCATATGTTTGAAAAAAAATATTACCAGCAGTATATTTTTGAAAAAAAATATTACCAGCAGTACATTTTTGGACAAAATATTACCAGAAATAAAAATCTTGTCGGCAAACCATTGAGAGAGATATGCCGTAAAACAAACCAAACCACACACACACACAAACACAAACACAGACAAGCGCGCGCACACACACATACACACATACACAGAGACACGCATTTTGTTGCAGCTTACTGCATTATCCCTTTGAAACACCGGCTTCCGTACGATTACAGATGTTAAGCAACATCGAGCCTCGTCAGTAGTAATGAGTGACCGCTTGGGAATACCAGGTACTGTAACTTTAGTGGTGCTGTTGGTATGGATAATGGCTCGGAATTGTTAATTGGCGAGCCGAGTTCCAATTCCCGTTGGGTTCGTTATATTCAGTTACGCGCAATTATGCTTGTGAAATATATGAATCCAACTTTTTCCCCGCCAGCTATCGATTAATTAGTAGGACTTGTATCACTAAATGATTATTGTTTGAAAAACATTCTTAGAATCTCAAAATATTTTCTGCCTTTAGACTACCGGCAAAACGGGTGATTTATTAAAATTAATCAATCAACCTGATTGCGTACATAATGTATAATTATACGAAAGGGCGAAAAAAGTTCGCCTCCAGACTAAGAAGAGATTCTCAACTTGTATATATATATATATATATATATATATATATATATATATATAGTGTCATCCACAGACAGTGTTTCGCAGTATCACAGCCCTTTAGTGTGGCTAGACGTCCGATTGCTTCAAGCCGGATCGAAACCCGACCGATTTGATACCACTCAGAGATTGCGACGATAGCCTAGGGGTATATATATATATATATATATATATATATATATATATATAACCTAGGTAGAAAACCTATATATATATATATATATATATATATATATATATATATATAATATATAATTATTTATTTAAAAATATGATTCCAACACGCTACATAAGAGTTCTCATGTTTCAAAACAAGAGCCGAAAACTTCATTATAATTATTTGAATTAAATTGAATTAAAGTAAGCTCTGTTCCATCTTCAAGCGAAATTTTTTTTGGAATAACTTATTTCTGAAATTTATGTGTTTTAATAGCATATTCATTATTGAAATCAAAATTTCTATGGTAACGGCTAGAGCAATTGTTTAAATAAAAAGGGTGTAAGGTGTTAATAATTTGTATCAGTATAAAGTTACATTCACAGATGTCAAGTCAGGGTAAGGTTGGGGTGTCTAAATTTAAAACGGAAGATGATTTAGCCTAGTCTGGTTTACGTGTCTATGGAGATTTATTTATTTATTTTTTTTTATTTTTTATTTTCTGAAAGGGTTTTGTGTATATAAAATTTGCCGTAACATTTGTTTTTTGACGACTTCATAAAGGGTTATCTTTTTTGTAGGGCATTTAAACTATTTATTAGGACTAGTGTCTTAATATCTTTCTTGCATTTAATTTTGCTCATGTGGTGAGATTTTAGTATTATTTATTTCTTAAAATACAAGGAAAAATTAAAGGCACATTTATACTGCCAGCAGTTGTAATATGTTCATAAAAGTTTGATCGAAAATTGCCCTGTTCTCGCCCATAGGAAAAAAAAAATCTGTTTTCCTCCCATATCAATAAGGTCGCATACAAAAGGAATAAACCAGGGGGAAAATGTTGAAGATCAGTTGGTCTGTTCTACGCCACCAACGATATTCAGCTGATCTTCTGTCAACCGATTATTCCTTTGTCGGACACTGCAAACCGTGTTAGTCAGGAAATCGTTCTCTAATAAAAAACAAGGTACAAATCAAATGACAACCTACAGAACCTTACTCAGAAGCCTTAATAAATGGCAACAAGTCATTGTAAACAATGGGCGGTATATAATTGAATAGAATGTAATTGTTCTTTATTTTTTGAAGAATAAACTGGATAAAAACAAAAATTATTCCTAATTTAACCTAATATCTCTCTCATTATCTATCTATCTATCTATCTATCTATCTATTTATTTCGCATTTTCTGTTTACCTACATCTAAAATTTTATCTCAAATTACTTTGCTTATGAACATGTAATGTTTTACATATCTTTTCTTCGCCGTCACTTCTTGCTTTCTTTCTATTAGCCTCCATGACTTCTTTTCTTTCTTTCTTTCTTTCTTTCTTTCTTTCTTTCTTTCTATTTGCTACATTGTCTTCGTTTCTTTCTTTCTTTCTATTTGCTACAATGTCTTCGTTTCTTTCTTTCTTTCTTTCTTTCTTTCTTTCTTTCTTTCTTTCTTTCTATTTGCCACCTTGTCTTCTTTTCTTTCGTTCTTGATTGCTTTCTTTCTTTGTCTCTCTCACTCTCCTCTCTCTCTTACTCTCTCTCTCTCTCTCTATATATATATATATATATATGGAGAGAGAGAGAGAGAGAGAGAGAGAGAGAGAGAGAGAGAGAGAGAGAGAGAGAGAGATATCAATTTATATTCCGATGAAGAACTTCAAGGCTTGTTAACGCTTCCTTCCATTTTCATTGGTGGTCTAGTGCCAAATACACTCATTGTACACAAATATAAACTCCATCTTTATATATATATATATATATATATATATATATATATATATATATATATATATATATACCGCTTAAAAGTTTACCCATTGATAAGGAGATGTTGATATACCCAAATAAACAGACGCCCATCTACATTGAGAGCGATAGATAGGGGGCGATCAGTTTACACCTTTGTCTCACATAATTAATGAACGACTCTAAATTGCCTTCGCTCAGCTAATATGTCGATGATTATTTACATCTTCAAGCAATACGTTCATAAAATGGTGATTATTTTCAAGGCTGTGTTCCTGAATTGCCTTTTTTAAATAAAATAATTTGAATATAATTAACTAAAGTCATTGACTATTTATCAGGTGGAAGCTTAAATTGTATTGGAGCATTTTTCAGAACGCCAGTGTATTACTGGCAGCCCGGGTAGGTCCATATGGCGCAATCTATTGGATCATTTGTGCGGCAGAGTGTTAGCAATGGAAACAAAGAATATACAAAAAGAAAACATAATCGATGGAAGAAAAGAAAACAAAATCGATGGAAGATAACAGAAGTTCCATGTTCAAAAAAACAAACAAACACAAAAAATATAACGAAAATATATAAAGGAAAGGAAAACAGAAAAAAAAAGAAAAAAAAGAAAAGAAAGAAAACAAAACAACCTAGGCATTTTTCTGTTAACTTTTCTTCGAGATTAGAATGTTATGGAATATCTACCGAGATGGCTAGCAAAAGACATCGCATGCCTAGATCCGCCTTTGAGATTCTGAAATGACGTATTTTCATTATTACACTGTTTTTTATTTTTAGTTAATTTTTTTTTTCATGAGTTTGTTCACTTTTTTTTTAGTTACTTTTTATCGTAACATTTTAGCCTACTCGCCACCCCCCGGTCATTCTTCCGAAGAATGAAGCAACAAAGATGAAGAAACACGTCAATAATAATTATAAAAATACAATAAAAAATAAATACCGAAGTTCTGAGACGGCTTGCTTTCACTTGACCTTAAAAAATAACCCAATAAGCGATAAAATGTTGGTTCTATCTACATGTAATACTACTACTACTACTTCTACTACTACTACTTCTACTACTACTACTAATAATAATAAAAAACAATAATAATAATAATGGTATTTTGGAGGCTAGACAATTTTTCCATTCTTTTGAAGCCGAAAAGAACACATTTCTGAGAGGCGTGAATGTGTTGTCAAGTGAAGAACTTAGTGAAGATAGGTCGGTTGGGCGGTAGGGAAGTTGAGCGAGAGGTGTGGCGATGGTTGGACATGAGGGAGTCTGAGAGAGATTGAACGAATTCATATCTTTGGAGGCAACATCAGTTGACGCCAAATGCCCCCATCTACTTTCAGCGCCGTAGTTCCTTGTCGGGAATTCCGAGACTTTTGGAACTTAATGATTGACATCGAAAGTAAAACGGGGAGAAAAAGGGACAAGCCACAGGCACACCCACACCCACACCCACACACACGCGCGGGCGCGCGCACGTCCCCGCGCACCCGCAAAACAAGTACAAACATCTACCTAACGTACACTTGCACACGGGAATTGACACGCGCAGATATAGCGACACACAGACTCACAAAAATATGTACAGGAACGCACGAAACTAAATGTCAGCGTGCACACACGCACACGAACAACCTCACACAAAACACACACAAAAAGATACTGGCGTAGAAATAAGGGAATCCATGACTGAAACATGGCGGAGAAAAAACAAACCTCTTATCCCAAAAATGGACAAAATCCCTGCCTCATAAAGAAATATAAGAAGAAACAAATTTAACATTGAAAATTCAAGGAACTTTTAGCTTAAATTTTCTATCAAATTGAGAAATTAATAATAATATTCAATACATACACTTATGGTCTGTCTATATTACCTGGCGTTATGCTGGGGGTTTTGACAAATATTGCATTGTTTCTTGGCCTTAGGCTGAGATTCGATCAAGGCTTCGACTAGCTTGAACTGGCTTCGGCCTGGACTTGCTAGGACAAGTCATGACCAGCTTTGACTAAGCTCTGACCAGCTTGGACATGCTATGACCAATTTTGACCAGTGGCCTTTGAGTGGAAACACTCGGGTTTCCCACGTTAATCGACCTTGTGTCACATCCTGACCCCGTGGGAGTCAAGTAAATACCTATGGTCTGTCTATATTTCTGAGATGAGGTATTACGTACATTATTTACATTATTCGGACTATTGTCCTCATCTTTGTCGCCATATTTATTACAACGTTTCGGCCGTTGTACGCTTCGGCGTTCTTCAGGTGGTTGGAATGTCGAACTGAACCCTTTATTTCGCTCACTGGGGTAGACTGTTCTAGTTCCACGTGCCATGTTTAATGGATGTCAGTTATCAGTTATCTCCTGTTAATTTCCCTCTGAAAGTTCTCCACTGCCATAACCGGGTATTGAACTCCCACTTTTTGGGTCATGTCACTGTCAACCAACGCCTTTATCCATTGTGGCATGTGTTCTTGTAATAAATATGGCGACAAAGATGAGAACAATAGCCCGAATAATGTAAATAATGTACATACACTGATATATGTACAAAGATCTATTTCTGTCGACTACTTCACGAGTTTATTGGTCTGCACTGTTTGCAACAGAAATTTATAGTAAATCGAACCAAACTTTAAAAAACAATGCTACAGTCATATATTCGATATATTTCATAGTTTGGAAATCCCAGTATCCCACAAGACCCGAATTTATCTGTAGAAAGGCTTAAGAAGGCTGCGTTTTTAAGGAATACGTCAAACGTAATCAAATGACGGACGTTGTATACGAACATATATATTTTACCGAATTAAGCGCTTAAATAAAGTTTTGAATTTGATTCACGAAATAACTTTCTTTTACATATAAGTTTATATATTAGATATTATTATTATTGCCTCAACGAAAATTTGAATTAAAAGTTCCTTGAATTTTCAATGTTAAATTTGTTTATATATATATATATATATATATATATATATATATATATATATAAAAGTATAATTGGTATATACGGAATGAATTCCAATAACCAACAATTACTATTCTTAAAGGAGTGCTCAATACAAAGTAGAGCAGATATAATTATTTAAAAAAAATTTATAACATAAATATGTTATAAAATCATTACAAAGAAATAAATTGAATAACATATGTATTTCTTCTTTTCTCCTCAGTAATTTTATAATTTTTAAACTTAATAGGGTTTAAATTTGGATTTTAAAATTGGCAGTTTTTAATTGTAATATCAAATTTTATCATAGAATTTAGTAATTGTTGGTTAGAATAAATTCTTTTTTTAATATTACCCGTATTTTAAAGATTTGAATAGCTATTATAACATGACTCCGTTGTCAAGCTTTTTGAATTTTTCGATACTTGTATTTTGTTTGGTCATTCTAGCTTTTGTAACAGCGTTTTCCCCTTGCGAAGGATCGTTAATTAATTTGAAACTTTTAAAACCATTTATTTTACATTCAACATCATCACTTGATAAGACACCGGAGGTGTTGAAACAAAATGGCTATTTTTGTAGTGATTTTATAACATATTTATGTTATAAATTTAAAAAAGAAATAATGATATATATATATATATATATATATATATATATATATATTCATATATATATATATATATATATATATATATATATATATATATATATATATATATATAAGACTTTTATTTACGGGACTGGGATTTTGTTCACTTTTGGGATAAGAGACTGGGGTTCTGTCCGCTGAGTTTTTATGATGTGATCGAAATAAAAAATATATGTACACGTGTTAACACACGCTAACAAAAGCGTTTACATTTACATACATACATACATACATACATACATATATATTGCTTAAAATCATATTTAACACACACAACAACACTTAAAACAGGAGAATTATAATCTGAAAGAACGTTCGAAAAAGTCGAGAGTAAAATACAACTTTTCCTGTTCCATTCTTTGTTAATATTACTGCAGAATATGACGTAGTTTTCATCTGGTGTCAAATATGTAAAATTAAATTAACTACTGAAGCTTCACAAACTGTATACGGACAAGAAGTAAAGTACAAGCACATTATTACTAAATCATTGTGCCATCGTTACGACTGGTAAATTTGATCATGATGGACGCTAGAAAATTGAACAGATTGCTTAATGTAAGCGCTTTAAAATGATCTTCCTAAGCGCGGTACGTGGTATAAAATAACTACTATCTACAACCGAGTTTACACCAGCCAAAAAACACCATTGGGGAGTCTTAGCCGTTTCTCTGTTTATTTCTCGCACCGCTGATGAAGGATACAGGCGTGCCCGAAAATTCCGGACTGATAACTGATGCTTCCAAAAATTCGTATACCTAAGGTATACCTAATGTTTAAATGTATTTTTCATAAAGGAAAAATCCTTTTCGAAACTTTCCAACAGCTTCAATTGAAAGCTAAAGGATTAAATTTTCTAATCCTAGAAAAAAATACTGTGGAGTATTTCAAATAGAAATTTGAATGATTTTTAGTTGATGCTTCCGAGAAACCAATCAAAACGACCATTTTTAACATTTTT